GGTCAGACGGGGCCGCGGGTCCCGCCCCGCCGCGGTGTGAACCCCTCGGGGGCGTTCGACTCCCAGACAGCGGCGGAGCGGGCTCCCCCGGGCCGGGCGGGCTTCCTCCTCGCTTTCCGCGGTGGCGGGGGGGCGATGCACTGGGGCACAGGGCTGGGAACGCGGTGCGGGAGCCGCTTCTTCGGCTGGCTGAAAGCGTTGATGTCAGGTGTCCTCCGAGAGCCGAGCTCCTCTTCGAAACGCGATACTTACTTATTTATTCATGAGTCGTTCTGTGAATTTTGTGGGCCTGCAGGGCCAGGTGAGTTCAGAGGTGTGCGGCGGTGCCCATGTGTAATAGTGCGGACAAAAGTGAGTGGCAGCTGGACTCCAGGATTAAAGAAGTCCCAACACCACCTTAAACCTGAGTGAATTCAATTCGGGGTTAACTGTGTATTTGCATATTACGCTGTGCTTGTAGGTGGAGCCTTCGTGGTGGACGGACCCTGCATCCCAGGTTGGTTTCAAGTTTGGATAGTCAGGATGGGAATCTCATTGCCCTGGATGCCTAATCAGCTTTTCTATTTTCAGTGAGCTTTCATCAGAACAGAGTTTTGTGAACACCTGAACTCATGACGGTTTTGCTGTGGTTGTGCTGTAAAGCCAAGTTTCAACTCCTCCTTTGTTCCTCTGTTTTTTGAAGAGGACAGAGTTGAGCTCCAGAGGCCATGAAAACCATTCTTTGGTAATTTTACCTGTAGTCCCTGTCCAAGTGTGCTTAAGGTTCCCAGGGCACAGGGAACCTGTATGTGGTGCTGTGAAGGGGCCCTGTGGGATTGTTCTGCTGGTTTAGTCACAGCATCTAAACTGGAAAAATACCTGCACATGGATGTTCTGTACCAGTGTAGAAAATGTCACTGTGACAGCAGTACAACTGGGCTGTGGTTTAAGATTATTGGTGAAAGTTTCTGGCAAAAGGTGTAATGTAATCCTCCAGCCTCCCTTGAGGCTGGTGCTTCTGAGGCTGCACAGTTTGCTAAACCAGGGACCTTCCCTCTCTGAAAACGAGCCCAGCAGAGAGTTTCTCATGCTGAAGGGAGCGTCCACGAGCCTGGTGTTTGGTGTGGCTGCAGTGCTTGGCCCAGCAGACCACGGATGGTGTTGGGCGTAGGTTGGGACCACAGCACTAAACCTTGGTTGCCTTAATAGCAAAGGAGACAGCCCAAATCTTGCTCACTTCTGCTGGTTAGGCTCAGCTTAGAGCAGTCACAGACCTGCCCTGACCCATGCTGGACAGACCTATCCTGTGCGGTGGAGACTTGTGGTCTCTCTGCAGCCTCTCTTGAGGGAACCGACCACAGTTAGTGATGCTGCCTCCCTGTTCCTCGACCCTTCTGCCTGCTTCTGGCCCCTTAAAGCGCTATTCTGGGGTGCCAACAGGGACCCGGCCTCAGGGCTGTGTGTGAGGTCGGGGTAGCCCATGGGGAGCTGCTCCTTCGGGGCTCCTTGAGCAGGGCAGGGGGCACTGAGACAGGCCACACTCTTGCCATCGTGCTGCTGTACTGGTCAGAGTTCTGGCAGCGTTGGGGGAACTTCTGAGCTTTCCTGCAGGTCAGCTTCACTAATCTAGCAGGCCAGACTCCACTGTTGCATCATTATACTCAGTCAGACCTTTTCAGCCTACACGAACCCAGTGAATGACAGTACCCTAGGAGGGGCTGGTGTGGAGCTGGACAGCCTGCCCCGGCTGTGGACAGCTGAGCTTTTCTGTGCTTGCTGGGACCCCTGTGAACTCTGTAGAGATCTCATTCACAAATAATGTGTATCCTGGACAAGGCCTTTAATTATTTATTTTTTTTTCCCTCCAAGAAAAGCTGTAAATGGGTGCAGGGAGGTCTTCATGTAGGGAAGAAAAAGTTCTTTTTTGAAAGGGGTTAGCATACTTGAAATGGTAGTTCTTGGCATTAGTGCTGGTTTTGACAAGTGAATTGAGTGATACAGTAAGATACTAGATCTTGCCCCAGACTCAGTGTAGTAGCAGTAGCCTCTTTTCAAGTCTACTGTGAAATTACTCTCAAAAAACATGAATAACAGTCAGGCATGTTCCCAGGCTGAGTCTCTGCCAATGCCCAGTTTAGGCTGGTGCCAGTGCTTTGCTGTTGCTGCCTGGGACCATCACTTCTGTACCAACATTACTGGTACTCAAAAACCTTTTGTCAGATAACTCTTTGTAGTTAATAGCATGATAGCAATTCAGTGACCTCTTGCAGGTTTAGAAAGTAAAACTTTTAAATTTAAACTTTATAAGGTTTTAGTGAAAAAATGAGTCAGCTGCAGAAAGGTATTTTAAATAAACCTTTGTATCAGTCTTATTTCTGCCTTAGCATTTACTGTCTTCATGCTATTCTGATGCAGGAAAGTGCAGGTAGTCAGCAGAGCTGCTTGAGTAGCCGGATTATTGGGGAAGGGTGCTGTCCTTTAGAGTGTGGTTTAAAACCCTGCTCCTGACTGCACAGTCTGTCATCTTTATGCCGTGTGGGGCTGGATGCCAAACTAAGTAGCCATGTGGGGAGGTGAGGAAACAGCCTGTCTTCACCCTGCAGAAGCCAGGGGTTGCACTTCGGCACCCGCTGCCTCTGAAGAGGAAGGTGAGGCTGGAGTACGTCTGTGAAGGTCTTGGGGAATATTGTCGTGGTTGATAGGGGAGGGGGGTTGTCCCCGTGTGCCGTCCTCCTGCAGGAGAGTTGGTAGAGTGGATGTAAGCTGTCCCGAGGTGCCTCTCTGCGGTGCCCAGAGGCGAGCAGTCTGCAGCAATCAGCGCAGACGGCGCTTACTTGCTCCGGGTGGCCCCTGTGAGGCCCTTGTGTTTGCATTGCTCATCGGCTGGTCGTCTGACACCCTGGAAAGCAACTACAATGTCTCGGAACCCCCGAGAAAGTGTTGCCAGTGAATGGACAGAGGGAGGCCGTGACATGGGCACAGTCATATGGGAAATCCGTGGTAGAATTTCAGAGTAGACGCCTTATCACTTACTCTGGGGTGCTGTTGTCTTTTTTTTTCCTTTTTCCTGCAACATTCAGCAGATTTCCTCACATGAACAAAGCAGTGAGCTTCATGCCAGTGCCTTGTTCTACGTTTTTCCTGGATAGGAACCACTTTCATGTACCACACTGCAGTGATGGGACAGATCACCCTCAAGTAACTTCAGAAAAAATCACTGATGTAAATACACTTAACTGTGTGATTTAAATAGTGCCATCACTGGATCTGTGAAGGATGTAGCTGTTATAAAGCAACCATGTTAAAAAACCCAAGTGACTTAAAAGATTGTGTGGTCTCTCCAGTGAGTGAACCAGCTGTGCATTAGTTGTGCCACCAGCCAGGCAGGAGAAGAGTCGTGGACTCTCAGAAAGGAGTTAGAGAACTTAACTTCTCCAGAGTAAAACAACGTGCTATTTTCTTCTACGTGTTTTGTGTACTAGGTGCTTGAGCATAGGCTATAAAAAATATCAGCACTGCTGCAGATCCTGTGTGATGTAAAGAGAAAGTCAGGCTAAGTAATGGTGAAGCTGTTCTCTTGGTCTGGGGAATGGGGGTTAGCTGGGTGTGCTCAGATGTCATTTCTTTTACTGACACAGATGTTTCTGCTTTGCTCTGCCCCCCTGCAGATCAGTGTTGACTGTTGCTTGTGAACAGACTGAAGTACTGCTTTTTGACCCAATATCTTCAAAGCACATCAAAACCCTCTCTGAAGCTCATGAAGACTGTGTGAATAACATCAGGTAGGTTGAAAGGAATATTTTGTCTTACCATAGGTGCTCATCTTACAAGTCTGTATAACACACTTTCTTGGAGAGAGTGGGTTTTGTGAAGACATTAGACTGCAGTTTGCTTTGTACCATTTTCCTTCTCTTTGGCATGGGAGCTGGGGAAAGGCAGGAGAGGGGAAGAGGAGGAGTCTGGAAGTGGTGGGGGCGTATATAATGCTGGCAGGTGGCTTTGTTGATGGAGGAGCTGCATGTTATGGGAGGGGAAGGGTGTTAAGGTATTATACCCTGTTTTAACTGGCCTTTGGAGTGTCCTGAATGAAAACAATAAATCAGAGCATAATGAGTAGTGTGTGATTTGTTTGAAGTGCGAATCTGAAACAATAGCAAGGTCAGGCATTTGTAGGAGTATGGCTTGTATTTTGAATTGTAAGAGTAATTGCCATAGTTGCATAGAAACTTCCAAACAAAGATTGACTGCTTTAAATACAGGTGTGATATAGAAAAGCTGGAAAAGTGAAATGTCTTCTGCAATTCAACTTAAACTCAGTCCTTATGGTTTAAATCCATTGCCTGTTTCTTGGGATGAAGTGGGAAACACCAAGTGCAGGAACCAAAATCATCAGTATTTTTGTTATGTAATGTTTTCCCTTTTAAATTCTGTTATTTTTAGCTGTTCTGGGTCTGAGGATAGACTTTTGACATAAGAACTTAAAGACACTTTCTAAACTTGTGGACAATATCATGGTCTCTGTTCCCTCAGATTCTCAAAGCAAATAAAAACCCAAAAAAACCCTAAACCCAAACCAAAAAGCCCTGTTGTGGTTTGAGCCCAGAAGGCAAGTGAGCACCATGGAGCTGCCCGCTCCCTCCTTCCTGCTTAGGAATAGGAAGGAAGAAATAAAATAAAAGGTTCTTGAGCTGAGATAAGGACAGAGAGGGGTGGCTCACCCATTATGGTCATAGAGAAAAGACAGACTCATTAGGGGAAGAAAAACAATTTGATTCAAACATCACTACCACTTAACAGACAGAGCGGGACAGGGAGAGCATTACCAGGTCTTGAAAATGCCTTCCCACCCCTCCCCTCTTCCATGGCTCAGCTCTGTTCCCCATTTCTCTCCCTCCGTCCTCGCAGGGGGGCAGGGGATGGGGTTGTGTCAGTCCCACCGCTCCTTTCTCCTCGGGGGAGGACT